GTCAGGAAGCAGCTGCCCACGCCGACCACCGCCAGGACGGCGACCGCGGTCACGGCAAAGGAATTGCGCGCCATCTTCACAAAAACTTGCTCTGCAGACACACAGATCTAGCAGGGAAAAAACTTGAGGCATCAGCACGCAAAGCAATGTTGCTTTCCTTGCCCGCGTCACACTGTCTCATGTTCAAAGCAAGTTCACAAGACTCAAGAGGATCAATGAATATTTCGCGTGACCAATGTAGGCCCCCATCTGTTTGAAGGGCTCGCTGCCCGGTCAGTGCGACTGTCGTCCTCTCGGACCAAAGAGCTGCTAGGACCTTAGTGAAAGATCCTGCACGGCAAAGACGATCAACAAGGCAGCAGTCCGACGACCCCAAACAACATCGCAGTTGCACCACGAAGTGTGGGCAGCATCCGCTTCGAGTTGCAAGTAGTTCAATGCAAGGTACAAGTCTCGAAAAAAAAACTACCAGCCGCTTGCCTCCCTGCTTCGGAGCTTCCACGGGGCAAGTCCCTAACATTGCCCTCATCCCAGGGAGGTAGAACACTAAGTTGTAACTTTTTTTCTCTTGGATGTAACTTTTCAGCTTTTTCAGCAAAATGACTTAGTTGTAATCTTTTGGGGCTCCGAAAACAGCAAAATTTCTGCAGACGGTTGCAAAGCAGGCATCTTAGTTATACTTCCTTTGGTGTCGTTAGCACCAAGACACGAAAATTATGGTGGTAGTAACTTGTTCTCGTTAGGGTTTTCGTAATCGGGAAAAGGGTTCCTGCTGGATTCACTCCTTAAGGTTTTCAGCATCTTCTAGCTCGTGTGAAGGTTCACGAGGCACACTTCACTCATTTACCGCAACGCGGCGAGTCGCCTCCAGCCCCGGTGGGGAGCGTCGCTGGGACGTCGCCGAAGCATAAGTGTGCGCTCTGGGCGGAAGATACTGTGCAGCACGCTGTTGCACCTCCTAGTGATAATGTAGGATGAAGAAGGGGACTGTCGCATAGAGCCGGGAAGCATCATTGCAAAACTTTATTGCGGAGTTTCACCTAGCGACCCAGTGCTACGCTCCACACCAGCTGTCAAGAACAGGCGAACCTCCTTTTCCTCTGAGGGCAGTGCCAACTTCCACAGGTGGTCAGGCTTCTCTCACTCAGGTTCTTGAAAAAACGCCTATCCGTTCTCGGGGCTGCGGCGGAAGTATGCAGGCTGGTCCGGGGTGGGGCCGTCCACGGTCGGGCCCAGCGCGCCATAGCCCGTCACGTCGTCAGCAGATGGCTGCTTGCTGTCCCAATCCAAGAAGAGGACCCACACGAAGAGGATCGGAAGGAAGATCAGGATCGCATCCTGCTGACTGAAGGCATCGGACGCCTGATCAGTTGCCAGGGCAGGCGCGGCCGGGAGTCCAGCCAGCACCGCACCGGCCACAGCCGCCTCCTGACCTCGCAGCTTAGGGCTGGAGCCCGGCGCCACGAAAGCCAGCTGGTTCAGGGCCAGCAGCACGCATGCCACCACGGCCGCCTTCAGCAGCGCCGACGAGTGGCGCGCCATGGCGGGCAGCAGATGCAGCCCTGGGAACACACACCTCCCGAATAAGAGCCGAGAGTCGGGTGCGGGCAGTGTATGCAGTCTTCGGATGGGAGCCACTTTGACCTTGAAGCTTCCATTGAACGAGCGAAATGCTGCCACGAGGATGCGCGCCAGTGTGACTGTACCTGAACATAACCACGTTTCCACCAATCAAGGCAAACGATCATCCAGGCAGGAAGATTCAACGCTGCTTGAGGGGAGGGACTCCAACCTCAGCCGACTGTGCTACCGGTTCGCAGCAGGCCTGCTGCCTGTTACCCTCGAATCAGGTACAACGCATTTTGCCTATGGCAGACTCCATTGCGCAACGACCGTCCCAGTTGAGATGCGTTGGAAACAAGGTCAGTGATTTCGGTATGGCTGACAAATCCTCGGGAGTCTTTGGTTTCCAGCGCACCTCTGCCCCTGTCGCGAGCCTGAAAGAGAAGATGGGATCTAGGATGTTGCATGTCTACTTAGCGCCGCAGCTTGCAGCCGGACATCTTCACTTCTGAAAGCATGAAAGGTGCAAGTGCAAACACTCCGGTCCGGAAACCCGATCGAGGTTGTGTATGAGGATTGTCCTGGCTCACTGCATTGGATGACTTCCCCTCAACCTCACCTCCTCTTTGGAGCTCTTGAAATGTAACCTGTGAAAAATGGGAAACGTTTCGGAGGTCCGGCGGGTGAGACATGCCCCAGGCAGAGTGCCGAGCTATCTTGAGATTCTTAGTTTCGGACCTAATCGTTGGAGAGCTTCGAGGCTTCGGCTTTTGTGCCCTTTAGGCGGGGCCTTGCGGAGCCCCTGAGTCTGCTGTAGTCGGTGCTCTCGGTGGGGTGCAAGCCTAAAGCAACTTCTGTGTTGCATCGTCTTCAAGATCGGGTCGAGTGAACGACAGCAACAACATACTCTTCATGAGGAACAGAACGCTCGTTACGGCCTGGAGCTCTGAAGTTATCAGAGTCGAAGGCTCCAAATGCTTCCTTTGAAGGGTTACAATCTATAGGGTTTCTTGCTTTGACCTCCCGTAATTCACCCCCTCGACCGCATCTGCACAACTCTTGTCACACGTGCTTGAGGAGACCCTGTCCCTTTCGTCTGAGTGCCTCCTTGCAACCTGATAAAGCCAACGCAAGGCTTGCAGCCTGCCCCTGACCGCGATGAACACTTAGACTTCTTCTACAGTTGGTCTTCGTGTCTGTCCGGATTGCAAAGCCAAATCTCAATACTCTCTGTGCGGCAGAGGGGGGTTCCACATGCAACTAGGCCACTTGAGGGCAAACGTGTGCTGATGCCGGGAGGAAACATCGACCGGCCTGTCGCGCTCTCGGTGAAACCTGAACATGAGCAAAGATCTTATATACATGCCGGTGAACCAGGCCATCCGCATGTCGGCGCAAGGCACTGTTGCCCTAATAACCTGCGACGGACTATGCTGCTTCTGAGGTCAGGCACCGCTCAAGTGGGCGACCCTGAGACCTGCATGCCCATTCCAACTGCCTAAGCCCCCGAAACAGTGCCAAATTGAAATCTTAGGCCATGCACCGGTATACTGCCGTGGCGCGGCGGGCTGTGCATGTGCTCCCTCCCTGCGGTGCATTAACAGCTGCATGGTCCCTATCTGTGATCCTTTTCGCATGCTGCTTCTGGACTGGACTGCACGCGAACTTTAAGGTAGGGACATGGACCAGGCATACAGGTTGAAGACATGCGTTCTCCGTAGTTGAGCATATCAGCCTACTAGTAGCAGTACAGGGCGGCGGCGGCAGTAGTAGTAGTGGTGGTAGTAGTAGTAGTAGTAGTAGTAGTACTAGTAGTAGTACTAGTAGTAGTAGTGTAGTCGTCGTAGAGGTAGTAGAAGTCGTAGAAGTAGTAGTGGTAGTAGTAGTAGTAGTAGTAGGCGCCCCCCCCTACCAACCACCTCTGCTGCCAACCCTCTTAAGAGCACGTTCGTTTTACTCGGTATTTACGGTACGTTCGTCCTGTCATACCA